ACAACATAAGAAGGTAGGGCAAAAATTGTCAGAAGTGTAGGCGGAAGTTAAACAGTCGTCAGAAGGCGCTTATGTTGCAAAAAATTTGGTAAAAATTTGTCCTTTGGTAAACTTCTGACAATTTATATACTTATTCTGTAATTCAAAATGAAATTATTTGCAAAGTGTCAGAAGTCTAGGTGGAAGAATAACGGAGATATTCCGAAAGTAAGGGCGTCGGTGCTCCACTCGATCCATCATTATATTTCGTATTTTTGTATTGTATTCAGAATTTTAAGAAAAAGTCTAAGTATGCAGTTGCATAGCCCATTAAATTTTAGTAAAATAAATAAATATTAGTAAAAAAATAAGTAGCCCAAACTGAGTATATAGTAAATACATACATATGTAAACGAATATGTGCTTTGTGTTTTTTTTTATTAAATAAAAAGTGGATTGTTTTTCGTTATAATTATATTCAAGTAATATTTTGAAACTGTGCAGTTTTATATGTAAATACATAAATACATACATATGTATATAAGAGCAGGCAAAAGAAAACATATCTCACTTCATTTCTGGAAGCAGGTCATAAGCACTTTTGTTTTTATCAAACACTGCAGCACAGTATAGAAAAGGTTTTGTTGTTGTGGCTGTTGATTTGGTCGCCATAAAGGACTTGATGTTGCGAGCATTCAGGGTGCTGTGCAGCAAAATAATGTGGTGAAACATTTTAACATCGGATAAATGGCGAGAGAAATATTGTTATGCGCTTTTTAAGTAAACATGAACGTAATAAAATATTTTATACTTCAATAAAACTAATTAGCGCTATTTTTGCAATTCGAAGTAATCTTAAAAATATTTGTAGTGAAATATATACTTCATGAGTTAAATGAAAACTATGTTATATCTAAAACCATATTCCGATTTACTTCAAATAAATGGTGTAAAATGTTTTATATGTGGATCTAATTTTAATAATAATATTTATTACTTTCATCTACGTTGCATTTATTGTATGCATTTACGAGTAGTTGCAGTTTTCTGCAATTGTCCCTGGCCGACTATACACGTTAAAGCTAAATAATTTCACAATTTCTACATTATTATAGGTTTATATTTTAATAAAATGCGATAAATTACTATACTATACTATATATAAACTCCGATCAAACTATAGTACTGAATGCTTGAAAAACAATTATTTAAATCAAATGATCAATAGTGAACGCACTCGGAACCTATTTTGGAACACAGAGCGAATTATGCATATTAAGACTAAATCATTTCTAACTTTTTGCCATATTATACGTTTATATTTTAATGTAATATGATTAATTACTGAAGAATATATAAACTCCGATCAAACACGATATAAAATATTATGCATATTAAGACTAAATAATTTCTCACCTATTATAAGCTTATGTTTTAATATAATATGATTAATTACTGAAGAATATATTAACTCCGATCAAACTATAGTATCAATTGTTTGACAAACTATTTTAATCAAATGATGAACAGTGACAACGACTCAAATATGTGATGTAGTCACGCATGATAAGAGGTTGTAAAGTTTTTGGAATCGAAGAACCTACTCGAAGAAGACGATGGCCGCAAAACTGGTGCCGTGCAATAAAGCCATAGGAAATAACGCCATAAATCTGCACGATATACTTATATAAAATTAAAGTGTGTATAAAATTGCTAATGATAAAACCGAAAACTACTCAATATTGCAGACGCCATATAAGGAAAACTGAATTATTACGAAATATAAATAAAGTGGCAGCACTTTACGCCCTTTTGCAGTTTCTCGTTTCAGTTCGGGAACATTGTTTACGTGTTTTTTAATAACAAAATAAACAATCTTTTGTTGTAAAATTTATGTACTTTTTGAAAAAGTTGTTCAAATAATATATTCTACTAGCGTTTCAAAAGAGAATATTGGTGATTTAGTGCATTTTTGAGCGTGCAATTACTCATAAAAAAGAGCAACATTTCAAAAAAGTTTTTTTTTTTAAATAACCTTTACAGAGATAAAAATGCGCCGAGGGTACCCCTCCTGACTGTTTTGCAAGTTGTAACTTCAACTAGAGAATTACCAAGATACTTTATGTTTATATGCACACCAGCTCTGCACTAGGTAAACATTACACAAAAAACTATCAAAGGTGCAATGACGCCATAATGGCTTTATTTCACTTTCACAGTGAGAAATAAGGCCATACGCATAAATATGGCTTTATTTCTCAATGTAAAGTGAAATAAAGCCATATGGCGTTATTTCCTATGGCTTTATTGCACCGCATCCGCAAAACTATGTGGGCTGATGAAACGTCTTCAGGCATGCCTTTGACGATCGTTAGTCAGACAGAGGTTTCACATACGATATTTTAGCCAAGGCTGGAATTCGTTAGCGGACAGAGCACACATTTACAAAATATTTATTGGGCTGCAAAACGTGAATTCCGATTTTATGGGTCTATTACGGATGGCAACCGAACTTCAGTTGAGTGGCCAGTGGCTGAAATGGTATTCTGTTATAGCCACCAATATGTATTCTCCCTTGACAAGACGTTGGATAATCGCGGCAACACAGCCGGATACCTACTCTATGCTTTTACGCGCATATGCTAAATTTCTCGCACCTCGCCAAAGTGCTTGACAAAGGCAGGAGGGCATATCTTCACCATTATAACTTAAAGTAAAAAAGTTTAAGGCATGCAATAAAAGAATACAACAAAACCAAAAATGTTCTCAAAACTATTAAACATAAAAAACTCATTATTTAAAATGCAATAAAATATCGCAATTGTTTTTATTTGTACATATTTACGAAATGAATCTTAAGGGACCCACAGTAAGTCCTAAACCTATAAATGACTAATAAGAAAAAAAAATAAATAACAGAAATCCCGAGAAATGTGAATAAGTATGGCGAGAAATTTCTAAATAGTAGCGAAACTGTATCTCAATAATAACAATTTTAAGCAAAAAATACCACCGACTTCAATCCTCATTCCGGTTGTTCTAGTTACGTAGACCCGACTGCCCTCCTTTTTAAATCGGTTAAAAAAATGAATACGTTTTCTATAAATACAGGAAAACTTTTTCGTAATATCTCGAACAAGGTGTATTAAACGAGCTGTTATTGACAACTCTGCGGTACTGTTATGTCAGAAAATATAAAGAAACGATTCAAAATTCATAAAATTTTTTCTCAATTTGACTTTATAGGATGGTTCTTCTGAGAGCAATGTCAAATTCAATCACACTGTTAAATACATTTTGATCTCTACATAATACTCCCTCTGTAAATATTTTAGGAAGTGTTCCGAAATTCGCTCCGAGCGCATTCACTGTTGATCATTTGATTTAAATAGTTTGTCAAACAATTAATACTATAGTTTGATCGGAGTTAATATATTCTTCAGTAATTAATTATATTATATTAAAACATAAGCTTATAATAGGTGAGAAATTATTTAGTCTTATTATGCATATTATTTTATATCGTGCTCCAGCGCGTTCACTATTGATCTTTTGATTGAAATATTGTTTGTCAAGCATTCAGTAGTGAAGTTTGATCGGAGTTTATATATTCTTCAGTTATTAATCATATGTATTACATTAAAATATAAACGTATGATATGGTAGAAAGCCAGAAATTATTTAGTCTTAATATGCATAGTTCGCTCTGTGTTCCAAAATACGTTCCGAATGCGTTCACTATTGATCATTTAATTTAAATAATTGTTTCTCAAGCATTCAGTACTATAGTTTGATCGGAGTTTATATATTCTTAAGTAATTGATCACTTTTTATTAAAATATAAACCTATAATAGGGTAGAAATTATGTAATTATTTAGCTTTAATGTGTACAGTCGGCCAGGGACAATTGCAGAAAACTGCAACTACTCGTAAAAACACACGATGTACAATGTAGATGAAAGTAATAAATATCATTATTAAAATTAGATCCATATGTAAACCATCTTACACCATTTATTTGAAGAAAATCGGAATATATTTTTACATATAACATAGTTTCTATTTAACTCATGAAGTACATATTTCACTACAAATATTTTTAAGATCACTTCGAATTGCAAAGATAGCGCTAATTAGTTTTAAGTATAAAATATATTATTACGTTCATGTTTACTTAAAAAGCGATTAACAATATTTCTCTCGCCATTTATCTGATGTTAAAATTTGTCACCACATTATTTTGCTGCACGGCACCCTGAATGCGGCAAAACAGTTGCTCAAGCCCTTTATGGGGACCAAATCAACAGCCACAACAACAATAACCTTTTCTACTGGCATAAGCAAAAACAAAAGTACTTATGCCCTACTTCCAGAAATGAAGTGAGATATGTTGTCTTTTTTACAAGCTTTTATTTTTGTCTTTATTTTGGCTTAGCATTTGCGATTTTGCACACAGTTTCAAAATTTGCGTTTTTATTAATAACTTGAATATAATTATAATGAAAAACAATACACTTTTTATTTAATAAAAAAAAACAAAGCACATATT